AGACCATGATATCAATATCAGATTGAAGGTCCACAAACTCTCCGATTCACTTGCCATTAGGTTGAGAGTTGCATACATGTCCCCACAATGAACCCTAATTTCTTTGATGCTCTCAATTTCTCAACGATGTTCAAGTGCCCACTCATCATAATTAACACCTTTCAATTGTACTTAAGTGACTACACTCCCTAAGTTGTCATTTGCACTCAATTAATAAAGTGAAAATCTCTTCTCAATTCTCCATCTTTGTTTTTATTTTCCTTTTAGTCAACCTAGCTTTAAAACGATTAATTGTTTTGGGACACAAAACTTATTGAAAAAACAAAGAAGTATATAATCAAATACTTCTTCATTTTATGATAGTAATAACATAGTGACCATATGTATGATATAATTTTCTTCATTCTATTTAAGATGTTTTTATTCGAATTTTTTATCTTTCCAATTCTTGATGATTTGATTTTTCTAGTCTATAAAGATCTTATTATTTTTTTATTCTAGGTCTAAATTGTTGTTTTTGTATATTTGGTATAGTGTAATTTGAATCTTCTAGCATACATTTAATAAAAACAAGCACTTCAATACTGAATGAGTATTAAAAATAAGGTGAAAATAATAAAGTAGCACGTATTATTGAGATTCATTCCACACACCACATGACGGGCCAAGACCTTGGCCGCCTTGGCTTCCTCTGGCAGGAATACAGGATGTAGTAAAAATGTACTCCGTCATACGAGACGAAAAACAACCATTTTATTGTGAAGAATTAAGTAAGGGTCAAAATAGAAATACGCCAATTAAAAGCTTCAAATAACTCCTACACTACTCTACATTTCACCCGCGTCTTTTACCAAGGTAAACAGTTCAAAAAATTAACTAAATTAGGAAATTTGATCAGTACTCTCTAGGAAACAACATTAATGTCTAATACTCCAAAATTATGATGCCTAAGGGTCGGTTCTCACTGACTGAACTCAGCTGAACTGAACTGAGCTGAACTTAATTGAGTTGAACTGAACTGAATATTTTATAAGAGAAGGAAATTAGGAGCTGAGTTGAACTGAACTGAACTGAGCTGAACTGAACTGAACTGAATTTCAACGTAAGAGAACAGGCCCTAAGTCTATTTTACTTTTGTTGTCCAAGCCTATATATGTATGAATCTACAACTGCGCCTTAGGGCCTGTTCTCTTACGTCGAAATTCAGTTCAGTTCAGCTCAGTTCAGTTCAGTTCAGTTCAGTTCAGTTCAACTTAGTTCAGTTCAGTTCAGTTCAGCTCTTAATTTCCTTCTCTTATAAAATATTCATTTCGGTTCAGTTCAGTTCAGCTCAGCTCAGTTCAGTTCAGTTCATTTCAGTTCAGTTCAGCTGAGTTCTTAAACAAAACTTAATAATTCCATGTATACGAACTAATGTGCAATATTATTAAAAGACACCCGAAAAAACTTGTCAACGTTTCTAAACTAGCTACTACATATTTTGGTTTTTAATAAGTTTATCAAGCGTGAATGAACCTCAACAATAATTTTTTACTATTTCCATCTATAAATTAGATCACTTTTTTTTAATAGTTTTAAATTAGATCACTTAAACTTGCAAAAAAAAAAAAAAAAAAAAAAAAAAAAAAATTAAAAAAAAAAAAAAATATTTTTTTTTTTAAAAAAAAGTAAAATCCTATTTATCCACAATATGCACAAGATTATTATTATTTTTTTTGGGTTTTTCTATACAGTGCCCCTGAGGTATTGACTTTTCCAAGCTGTGCCCACCCATTTTCAAAATTCCACGCTATACCCCCAAGGTACCTTTAGTGTCTATGATGTAACCCTACCCTAACCCCTCCGTTAACTTAAGTTAACTTTCCGTTAACTTAAATATAAATAAATTAAAAAAAAACCCCCAAACACCACTCTCTCCTCCCTCACAACTACCCACCAGCCAACAGCCGCACCACCGCCGCACCCCCAGCCGCTCCACCTAGCCGCGCTCTTCTCTCCTTGATCCACCACCGCACGAGTCACCACATAGTGCACCACTAAAGAAAGTGTTTGAATGCAATGGAGGAATTTAGTTCAAATTCGAATTGAAATTTCGACAAATTGGTTTAGGGCTTTTGTTTCATTGGATTCAAATTGCAAAATTAAGTTGTTAATTGTTGTTTTTGTTTTAAAATCAAAGAATTTGGTTCAAAATAATAGAAAACCCTATTTTTTTCCCCCAATTTGATTTTAATTGCTAAATCAACAATTTTGGTTTAATTAGATTGAAATTATATACACAAAACTTGTTTAAATTGATTTTTCCAATGAAAATCTGCACGAATATGGTTCAATTGGTCGAATTTGGGCATGAAGAACGATAAGCTGGCAAACATACAGTGCGCGGTGGTGCGGTTGCGGCTCGAGTGAGAGAGAAGGAGAGAGGAGGGGTGATGCGCGTGATGGTGGGTCGAGGAGAGGGGAGCGCGGCTCGGTGGTGCGTCTGGGGGTGTGGCGGTGGTGCGGCTGGAGGTGTGGTTGGAGGTGTAGTGGTGGTTGGTGGGTAGTTGTGAGGGAGGAGAGAGAGAGGTGTTTGTTTTTTTTTTAAAATTTATTTATATTCAAGTTAACGGAAAGTTAACTTAAGTTAACGGAGGGATTAGGGTAGGGTTACATCATAGACACTAAAGGTACCTTGGGGGTACATCGTGGAATTTTGAAAATGGGTGGACACAGCTTGGAAAAGTCAATACTTCAGGGCCACTGTATAGAAAAACCCCTTTTTTTTTTACAAACAACTATTTATCATAGAACTAGAAAGAATCCAATTACTGTATCAGAAGCTATATGACAATTTGAATGGAAAATAATCAAAATATACAAGTCCTATAACTTGGTCATAACCTTTTTTACACTTATTTTTTATATGAAGGAAAATGGTTTTTTTTTTTTTTTTTTTTTTTTAAAAAATAAAAAAAGGAAAAGTTGCTAAAAATAATACAATCTTTGGCTCATTCTTTTTTAATAATACAACCTTTGGATTATTTTGTAAAAATACAACCTTTATGAGGTGTTCATTTTAAACAAGATAAAATCAATTTTTCGGCAGACTTTGAGGTTAAGAAAGGGGATGAGTTTTTGGTGGTGGAGATGAGGAAGGATGGAATATCCCCTGCCCTTCTCCCACCTCAAACTCACCGACAATTCGATTTTATCTTGTTTAAAATGAACACCCACTTAAGGTTATATTTTTACAAAATAATCAAAAGGTTGTATTATTAAAAAAGAATGGGACAAAGGTGGTATTATTTTTAGCAATTTTTCCAAAAAAAAAAAAAACAAAAAAAAAAAACCTTTTCTACTACTTTCCTACCCCTTCTTTCCATCTTGGAAAATAAATAAATGAACTAGAGATGGATGGAGACATGTAAAAAGATAAAGAGATAAGAAAAAAGCATGTAAAACAATAATCAAGTCATTGTTTTGTTAAATTCTCAATATCTCTAAAATGTCACTTTCTAGGACACAACATGAATAATTCATAATTTCATACCTTATGTTAAAAAGATAGCACTATGTACTTAAAATAAAGTAGCACAAGCCCTTTACCACCAACCAAACTAATTTTATGAAAATGTTTCTCCTTTTTTTTCCCTTCAGCTACAGAACAAATAAAAATGACATTTCTTAAACGAACAAGCAAGAACTACTTATCATCAACAAAACCCCAAAAGAACAAAAAATCATTTAATCAATCTTACCAAAGACAAAAGAAAAATGAGTCCTTCCCATCACATCCAAAACTCCTCAACCACCACCAAAGCCATGCAAGTTATGCTATGCATTATTTGGTTCATTCCACACGCATTTTACATATATGAAACTATCTCATATAACAGTTGCACCACATGTAGCGCTTATTCAATTCGCCCAAGCTTTCAAAACCTAATACTAATACTTGTTGGTGCTCTCCGTATAATACATGAACGATCCAACAATTAATTAAGCAGTAAATACTGAAAGCTCCATTTAAAAAATTACTCCATATAGGATGTTATAGGTTATGGGTTTGTGAGTAAGGTATTAAAGCAGTAAAAAAAAATCAATTTTTATTTTTTACTGAAAGCTCCATTACTATGATTATAGAGTCAAAATCAAAGCACTGCCAAGTCTCCAACTAACATGGTTCTGTCACTTAACCATGTGGTGCAAATTATTGGAACTCACCCTTTTTCTCCAACTCTTCTTTCTAACGTTCCATTTTTGATAGTAAAACCAAGTGAGCTCACAATATGAACCATCATTTTATTGTCACATGAATTTTACCTCTTACTATTAACCTAACTAAGAGAGACATTAAAATGTGTAAGAATTTTCTGTGTCTTTATATACTGTATCTACTATATAACGGACACAGTCCCATGTTGTAACATGCTTTTGAACCATCCATTCACATGATCTATCCACTATCCGTTTAAACATTATATGGGGCTTCATCATTTGATCTTCATTTGGAATTGAATGATTGTAAGATAGCACCAAAATTAATTAATGTCCACACAATACTGCTATGTTGCTTAAATTTGACAGGATAATACATGTTCGAACAATTGGTTTTTGACAATTGAGAATAAAGACAGAGTATAAATAAACATAAGGGTTACCATACGCATTACCCGACTAGGAAAACAAGTTCAGAACAAACTTAGAGTTGGTAAACTATAGACAAGGAGTCCAAAACAAAAGAAAATTGTCATAGCCCCTAATCGATTATTGTGGAACAATTTTAAACTAACAAATTAAGTACTCCGTAATTTTTTACTCTATTTTCCATAACATCAATTTAATAGTAATGTGCCAAGTAAATGTTGTGGGTAGGTTATCAAGGTGTTGTGAAACTTGAATTGCAAATTTACAAGATAATCTCTTCAAACAAGTTCACATAACCCCCAAATAATTAGATACATACATAGATTCATGCAAATTTTACCTTAGCTTCCTCATGTTAGTACCCCAATCTCTTTTTCCAAGTGTTTCCACCATAGCAACCAATAAAAAAAAAAGGCTACTACAATAAATCTTCTCCTTTATAGTTGACAATATGAGAAGGCACCCAACAATCATAATCTACACATTGATATAGCAATCATGATTATAATCATGTATTTAACCCTAGATACACAAATTTAAAGAAAAATTAGGGGCCTATATCAAATTTAAAGGTGGAGAAAATAAGAAAATCAAATCCTCTATACAAAATCATCTACTTGTATTTTTTTTTTTTTTTCCAATTTCTTAGACCCTATTAATCAATAATACACTTGATTTGGGTTTCTTTTTAAAAACGTTTTTGATGATGATAGGTTGATACTTGATAATGATATCACCTAGAAGAGACAGGATTTAGAGCTCTAGCAAACCCATTAAGTGCACCATAACTCTTGGAATTAAACCCTAAACATCCCAATAAACCTTGCCTGTAAGGTAAGAATGTTTTCTTCCTCATCTCCTCTGCTTGCGCTCTGTTCGCAGCGTAGTGCATCTCATGCGCCGACCTCCTCTTTCCGCCCGGCATCCCCTTCCCTTTCGACGCCGGAACTTCCTTCTTCTTCGCCTTCTTATCCTCGGAACACGACGCCGAATTCGTATTTGCATTTACATTTGTATTTTCATTGACATTACTACTATTGTTGTTGCTTCCTTTCTCTCGTTTTTCTTTCGCCGGAGAAAACGAGATGTTGATATTATGCCAGAATTTGTTGTTACTTCTTCCTTCACTCTTACTCCTCAGAAAATCCTTCAGAAACACCCACCGTTTCGAACTCCTTCCCGCCGATGAACACCGCGACGAACTCCCCGACGGCGTCGTTTCGCCGCCGTCCTTCTCCTTCTCACCTCCTGCTTCACTCTCACCTTCCTCCGCCTTCTTCGTCGGAGTCGAAACGGCGTCGTCAGAGCAGTACCACTCAAACGGCGCCGTACTCCGAAGAGGAGAGAGAGACCGAGTTCTTCTCCGTTGAGATCTGTTCCTCAACCTCGACCTCTGAAACACATTACTCTTCTCATCATCATCATCGCAATAATCGTCGTCTTCTTCATCTTCTCTCTCAGATTCCAGCAATGTCAGAGACGGAAGCTTCTGCGGCCGTTGTAGATGAGCGCAAAGCCTCATCGGACGGATCTGACCGTTGAGGAACAACTCATCAGCGGAGGACATAGGCGGTCCAATCTCCGGCGCCGGCAAGTCGAATCGGGCGGAGAACTCGAACTCGAAGGAGCCAGTAGAGGAGGAAGCGTCGGAACTCGCCGGAATTAAGCCACCGCCGGCGGAGGATCTCGCCTGAGCAGTAGCGAGGACGAAATGCATGGGACTTGCAGGTGCACTGTAGAAGAATCCAGAAGGATAGTACGAACGACCTGGACTCGAAGGCGCGCTCACAAATGGCGTCGAACAGTTACTGTCATCGATGTAGAAATCATCATCATCTTCCTCGTCGTTGTTGTCGTCTTCCTTCTGCAGTGGTGGCGGAGATGGAGGAGAGAGAAAATCACCGCCATTAATGGAGGTTGGAGCTTCGAGGTTGGAATCCATGGTATTCTGTGAAGAAGAAAAAGAGGAGAGAGAAAACAAACAACAAAAACAAATATGGAGTTGCAGAAATGGAAGGAGAGAGAAAAATGAAGAGTGAAGAAGAAGCTTATGATAAAAGGGCGGTATTGAAGTGAAATTACCTTGGATTTGGGGTAAAATAACGAAAATGCCATTGGGAATTTTTGGGGTGAAATAATTAAAAAGGGATTTTCCGTACGGTATTGTTGGGTTTATTTTTATGATGAAATTGATGAGGCTGTTTAGATTCTTGGAATTTTTTTTTAAAGTACATAATATTTGCCCCTACAAGGCTACAAGGCTATTAAAGTAAATTAGGTGTCTTGAAATTTATTATTGCTAAAAGTTTTTTGATTATTGTGTTTACTTTTTTTTTTTTTTTTTCTTTTACACTTTTTAGCTTGTTTCTTTTTGCCCTTGTGTTTAAGGTTAGGAGGAAGATAAAACAATAATACTCCTAATAATGACTCATCTTTTAATTGAGGTGGATAGGAAGCAAATCTAGGGTGTGTGAGTGTGTGACAATGGATATGAATATTAGTAGTTCAATTTCAAATATGGTAATTGCTCTATTGGTTACATGGTAAGATTTGTAATATTGGTTGTAAGTTTACAATATAAACGAAATATGGTTGACTTGTTAAGATAGATTTGTCAGTTATATTCTCCTTAAATCTAATTGACATCAATCATCGTGCTCAGTAAGGCATATCAAGGTAAGCTTCACGTGTATGATTGCATGTTGGGTAGTGATATTCCACGAGCCACATTATGATTTCAATTATCTGCTTAAACTTACCTATGTTTGTGTTCATCATACACTTTTGTCATCCTTGTTTAAAAAAATACACTTATATTATCCATAATCCCGACTCTAGCATGATACACTCATACATAACTCACAAGTTAGGATTATCTTAGTTTAAACATGTCGCCTTAGCAAATTATGACATGAGTTACAACTCATACAAATTATAAAAATATTTTGTGTATTTAATATACACAAACGCTATGTAATTGGTATGCTATCCTTCATAATGTTTAATCTTGCTCAACTTTCTCTTATACTTTCACCTACACAGCTACACTCAAGTCTCTTGGACAATGAAGGCTCTAATCAATTTGTCTTTAACAACAATATGCAAGCAAAAGGATGATTACTTATTCCATATTTGCTAAAAAAAAAAAAAATCAATTATTGCAAATTTCAATAGACTATACTACAACTATAACCAAGAAAATGTTCAAAGATTTTATTCTTTTTCAAAAAAAATTAAATATAATTAGGAAATAAAAATAAATCAAGAGAGTAAAAAATCTAAGTAAAATACGAAATACGTAGAGAATAGAGGGAAGCACGTTCACGGCCCGTGTGATGTCACAACCCTACCACGCTATATATCTAATCCACCTGCAAAGATTGTTGTAGCATCACGTGCTCTGTTTCCTACTCCTCTGTTCTCACTTCCACTTTTCTACCCTACACCCTCCTCCAGATTCCAGAACCTCTACGTCATCATCATCATCACACCCTACACGTGGCAAAATCTCATCAATCTACACGTTTTGATTTGCTATTTTGTTGATGGTTGATTTTATTATCGTACACCTGACTGCACTGGATCAATCCCTTCATTGGATCCTGACTCTTGTGCAACCCTTACGAGGAAGGAGGTTATTTGATTAATTAATTTAATTATGATATTTTTATTATTTTAATGTGTGTCAAATTTGTATAAAGTCAATCTAGTTTTAGATGTTTATATTATTGGAGAGCTACTAACTAGCATTATTGTATAGTACTCCCTAATCTGCATTAGTTAGGATAAATTTGATTCTACTATTTTAATTTCGTTCTTAAAATTTGTCACAAATTATTTTCGTTATGTGTTATAAATTATTGACTCGCTTCACATCACAGAGGTTTGAGGTTTGGATCCTGTCAAATGAGGGTGCTTGAGGGTGATTTTAGAATAAATTTGAATAACACTAACTAATAAATCGAGTGGAATTATAATCAGCAATTAATATTCCAATGGGAAATAAAAACCAACTACATAAATACAAAGCACATAGTTAGTTTCAAACGTCAATTTCATTAACAAAAAATGCATTAATGAGATCGGCTATGGAATATCAGAAATGATTAAGACGTGTGAAAAAAAAAGGGAAGACATGAATGAACTACAGTACTTACATATAGAGTTTAATGAACATAGTAGTTAATTCTCTTTAAATTTTATTGTTGATAGTTACACTCCTTCAAATTCAACTGTTTCCTCATTGTTTTATGGTTTAGGGGTGCATAATAATGCAGATTACTTACAAATACTTTTAACCAAGTAAGATAATTATGGATTTGTTCTCATTGACTGAACTTAGCTGAACTGAAATAAACGGATGAGCTAAATATTTTATGAGAGAAGGAAATTAGGAGGTGAACTGAACTTATAGAGCTTAACTAAACTGAAATGAACCGAAAATAACCTGATGAGAACAGGGCCTACGAGTAACACTTATTGTGTTGGTGAAGAGTATTTTTGAACCTTTTTAGTTGGGTTTACATTATGTTAATTAAGCAAGTAATAATGTCAAGTAAGGCTTACTGTACAAGGTAGTTGGTAAGAGATTGACCTTAGCTTGTAACTTTAAGGTCACAAGTTTTAAATCAACAATGAATCCTTACCAAGTAACAAAGTGTTGTAATTATTATAAAATGGACGTAAAAGAAAAGCTTTGTGATTATCGTGAAATAGAGGGAGTACATTTATTTGAGTGCAAGAAGCACTTGAGGCTAAAGATTAAATACCACATCAAAATTTATCGTAAGGGATAAAGTCTGGTCAGTAAAGTTTTTTATTTACTCAGTAATAAAAAAGAAAAGGAAGACAAAATTAGGATTAGTTAATTAGGGGAGAATATGATTAAAGCTTATGGGTAATAGCACTTAGGTAGTGTCCCTTTTCAGTATTCTTACTTCACCCAGAAAGAAGTTAGGAGAAAACCAATTTTTTAAAAACTTTGTTAATATTTTACTAATTAAAGTTTGTCTTATTAGTAAAAATTACCACTAACCAAATCTAGGTATGTATGTCAATGAGGTTGTGTCTTATTCCAATTACCAATAAGTTGGAGCATTAATCATCCAACTACTGTCAGTTTATATTTGTAGTAGCTAACCTAGTATAATTAGAAGGCAATAGTAGATTAATATAGTTGCTATTTTGAGGAACATTTATGCTCTCATTGGTCAAAAAATAATACATTTACTGTTTTTTTTTATAGTTGGTATCTTTAATTTTCTGTCATAAAATTCAATTTCAATCCTGTTTATTTTTAATGAAGTCAGAAAATTACTACTGTACTAGCTAACTAGCTACTGCAGATTAAAAATTTATCAAAATTTTAAATTTGGAGAAGTGAATGCAGCAATATTGTTAACATGATAAAGTTAGCTAATAGTTGTATGATTAGATAATAATAATCTTTGTTCAAAATTTGCAACAACGCAATTTTATCCAAGAAATACTCCTTATAAATAAATCATCCTTTACTTATAAGGAGTAAGAGTCATTACCGGTTTACCATTTAGTTGGCAATCGATTATAAAATTTGTGATGGTAATAAATTATGTAGTGTTTTATATTTGTTTACTACGCAGGATGGAGTAAGGGCTTGTTCTCGTACAATTATTTTCAGTTCAGTTCAGATCAGTTTTAATAAGTTTAGTTTAGTTCAGCTCTAATAAGTTTAGGGGGTTCAATTCAGTTCAGCTGAGTTCAGTCAATGAGAACAAGTCCTAAATATTATCCTAATGTCTATTGCCCACACCCAAAGTTTTCTTTTCTTAAGTTTTCAATTTTGTTATTACTCTCACAGTGGTACTAGTTTAGAAGTTGTAATGAAAATAAATTATTGAAACCATGTGTTTAGGATAAAGTTCTACTATATATGATAACTGTATGACTAGCACGAGACTTTCCTTTCAAATTTGTACTTTTCTTTGGTTAGAATTATTGGTTAAACACCAAATTCACATCGTATTCTCGAGTGTAGGTACATTTTTTCTTGAAGATGTACTCTCTCTTTATCCTTCCTATTAAAATAAATATACATAAACTATACACTTTGTAATAATCACATTGATACATAGACAACCAAGGCAAAATCAGATTTATCCAGATTTTAGGGTATAAAAGAAGGAATAAAATTGATTAAGATTCTTTTAACAACTCTTAAGATGCCAAATTAGTACCACAAAGTAGTAAGCAAATGAAGGACCACAACACCACCCTACAAACAAAGGGGCCAAATGAAAATTCTAAAGAGTACAAATACATGTTTTTATCATAAACCCAGCTTGTATTAAGTGCTGCTTGCATCATTATCACACATTTTCATGTCTACCTTATTTCCAGCACTACCATCTCTCAAACATCATTTTCATGGATTCTCTTACCTCAAATTATCTGTAATGAAAGCTCTAGGAGCTTCATGGAGATACCTTTGCTAAAATCTCGGTTTTCAGCCGAGAAGTTCAATTTCTCTGAAATCTCTTGTGTGTGTGTTGTGTAGTAGTCGTGTTTTGATCTTACTGAATTCAAGAGTGTTAAGGACATTCATATGAGTAGATTGTGATACAAAACTATAGTTATAAAAAGCTGTAAGTTCTCTGATGATCAAAACGAATAGAAAATGATGCCATTTGCATTGAGCGAATTTCTTCAAAAGAATTAATTCATCTACCACATTACCATTAAGAGAGATGTAGGATAAACTAAATGATCTGTTCTTCTAAAAATTGTACAAAAGGGTTAGGATGGGTTAAATAAGCTTACTATCTAGATTGCCTCTATACAGTTAGATCAGCAACAAGCTCGTCGATCAAAGATTCTACTATCTCTTTCTCAATGTCAATTCCCTCTTCAAGTGATTCAATTTCAAAATCCAACCACCTACCTAATTGAATACTCATGTCCAAGTCCACAAGCTCATCCACCATTAAATTTCCCATGTTTTGCCAACATAAAACCTCTTTATACACTTCTTCAGTCAGCCACTCGTTTTGAAGCAGCATTCCCCAATTCTCCCATGACTTGAAGCTCCCAAGGAAAGCCCGTTGGTACTTTGCATTAACACTTTCGGTAACACAGTTGAACAAAATTCTCCGATCAAGCTTGGAACATGGTTCTGCAGTTCTGCCTGATGTACTTATCAAATTTTCCAACAGGTCAAAGAGATCAGGATCTATAATGTCGAAACCTTCATCCAACCTTAATCTTTTCAATCCAGCATAGTGAAGCATGTGTCTTACATATTCTAGTTCCCAATAAGATGCATCAATAAAATCCGACTCATCTTCCCTGGGATGGATACTTTCACTCGACACGCAACTAGTCACTTCCTGAGATCGAGGAGATGAAGGCTGATAATTTCCTGCAAATCAAATAGCATAGAATGAACATCAGTTCGTAAACACATTCAGCAATTTAACTTGAGTAAATATATCTATTTTGTGATGAATGGATGCAATTTGACCAATTTATCACAGAAGTGCAATTATCCATATATCACTCTATGTCATCAGATAAATTTAGCAAATGACATCTAACCAATACTATCTAATTTAAATGCGGCAATTGCTTCCTCAAGACTTTCAGAAGAGGGTTTCCTCACTCAACAACATTATCCAGACCTTGATTATTATATTAGCTAATCATAATCTTTAATGCTGGACCATATGGTACATAAAGCTTTACCATGAGTGACATCACTTGCAGTAGTTGATGACATCCAACTTCCGGACATTGAACATTCTGGATTTGAGATATTAAAATGTTCACGATGAGATTCTCCGCTCGCTTCAAATCTGTTAGTACTGCTAGCACTCTGCTCTTCAGGACCTCCATAATCCTTTACAATATGAAGGGAATCAAGAAGAATATTAGAACATGAAGTTACATCAGAATAAATAATGAATTTACAAACTTAATAAAGTGGGGGTCACAAAATTTTAAAATTAGGAACACTTCAGATACCAACAAGAGAATATTTGACAAAGTTGTTAGTGATACTTCAATTCCTAAAATCAAAGCGCTTAGTTTATGTTAAGACGTGTAGCCATAGAATTTGGAAAGCAATAGTTGATGGGAAATCTTAATGCATCTAAAACATATGCACAGTTCAAAAACAACAAACACAACTCCAGCAGCAGGACGAACAGTGCAAATTATTAGCTGAAGATATACTATTAGCTTTTGAACTCCATAAGATTTCACATGGTAAAGCCCATAACAAGAAACAAGCTCCCAAACTTGGACCCAAAAGTAAAAGGGAGAAAAGGCCAAGCAATATGCTGGAAATCATCACAATAACTCCTCGCCGATGAATTAGAGTATTAGTATACATAGGTAAAAAGAGTAGTACTAGTGTGTAATTCTAACACAACACCCCTAGCATGAAGAGGGGAAAAAACAGAAATGGTAAGGAAATATGGAGTAACATTTGTTTTAGAGAGAGAGAGAGAACATCTTGCTCGCTCAATTATTTCCTTACCCTTGTTATCCTTGTCCCTTAAACCATCTATAATAGGTATTTTCCCAATTCTCAATTATTTCCCTACCCTTGTTATCCTTGTCCCTTGAACCATCTATAATAGGTATTTTTCCCAATTACCAAAATTAATTAAGTGATCATCTCACTTAGTACTTCAAAACTGGAACTTTGTCGTAAATTTGGGAGGCGAAAAATACTAGGTCAAATGTAAGGGCGTGTTCGACACTAGCTTTTGAGTAGCTTTTAGTGGTTTGACTTATTCAAACCACTATATTATAAAAAATTATGAATATTTAGGAATGTAGTGAGGGTAGAGTTTAGTGGTTGAAGTAGCTTTTGTGAAAAGTCAACATTATTAACTTTTGTGAAAAGCTAGGTAGCTGTTGAATTTTCTTATATTTTTTCAGAATTTTACAGCTAACAGCTAATTTACCAAACACTCATACTGAATTAATTATTTTCACATCTAACATCTAGTTGACAGCTAACAGCCACAGCACAGCTAACAGCTACCTCTGCAGCTACATTTTGCCGAACACGCCCTAAGTATGTGAATTGCAGTGCCTTGTGCAACAGAAAAAGGCTAACAACTTAATAGCCTTAATCTCCGTTCTCTTCTAATCTGGCTATCAAACTAAGCAATTTTCTTTCACTTGGATGTTGATCTTCTTCAGCAAGGAATCAGGCCAAGTAGCACAGAGCATTATATATGCTATACTAGAAGAATATCAACAACATGCACCACCAGAAAGTGTAATTTGATGCCTCACCAAAGAAACACAGGACTAGAAATCTTATTTCCTACAGAAAAAGGCATGGAAAAAATCCTTAGAAAGTTGGAACGAAATATCATACATCGACTTTTGTTGAAATCTATGGCCTTTTTTAGGACATATACCTTACCAACTAAGAACCAATAGAGATTTTCTTTCCATATACTGGATGACACACGTCACCTCTTCATGATTTTTTTTTAAAAAAATAAATAAATCAATAAGAGCATCATTTAGTTTCTTATTTGATTCAAAAAGAAGAATTACATCGGTACAAGTAAGACAGACTTCTTGAAAATAACAATTATGTAAAGTTGTAAACTTTCTACCTTTAGTCCAAAGTGGCATCTCAGAAAAAGAAAGGAGCATTTCTTTTTTACTTTTGTGGAAAATAAATAGCTAAACAGCCAGTTGCAGTACCAGCCTATGGTAATGAGACTAGATGATATTCTATTTCTGTAAAACCTAGGCCATTAGATGATTAACTTGGTAAAATTTATGAGCAAGATTTGTTAATATGAGCACAACCACATTTTAAGAGCCTACCAGGATCAATCCTATGGGACTGAAGATACATGATATCTCCTACCCCTAAATGAGATCATAAAAGTCAATATGCCACTGCCAAATCCCTTCTTTACTGCTCAATTCTAATCCAAGTAGCAAACTAATCAGCAGTCCTTCAGCATGAGCTGAAGCAACATCCATTCATTACAAAATGGATATGTTTACTAATCAGCGAGAGACAACATATTATAATTGAAAATTAGATAAGCAAATGATCCCACAGAGGAGCATTGTTAGGAGTTTAATTTGACAAGAGCCAAATATAAGGTAAACGATATGGTTGGCTTGACCCCACTTTGGTAATCCATAATATATGGGCGCTACAAGCAATTGAGGAGAAAATTAAGGATCTTGTTGTCCATGATCTACATTGAACCAATTAAGAACATCAACCTAACGAGTAGTGACCACAAAAAGAAAAGGGGTTGACTACATGCCTTTAGCTTAAGCTAATGAAAATATTTTTTTTTTATTATTTTTTTTTTTAAAAAAAAAAAAAGAAAAAAGAAAAAAAAGTAGGGCATGTGAATATTGATTGCAAGTTACATATATACCACACTCCCACTCCATATAAATGTGGTGAACTGAGTGCCAATTGGCATTGCCTAGAAAACTATACCACTCTTGAAAGTTTGATTTTTGTAATCAACTGGCTTATAAACCTTCCATGATACTTGATAGCTCTCATAAATCTTTAATGAGTTTGTGAAAATCTCTAAATTTCTATCCTTCTTGCAAAACACAAGTAAAATGTCCATTTTCCCTTCTCTCCTTAAGAGAACAGAAATATAGAAACAAAAACTGAAAGACCAGAAGAGCACCAGCAATAAAAAGTTGCACAACCTTAAGATGTCTTTATCAATCAATCAATCAAAGCCTTAATCCATAAGTAAGGTTGGCTACATAAACCAAATGTGATTATTCTGTATAGTCATCCACAAAGATCTCTTTCCTCCACCCTTTACGATCAAATACCTCATTCTCATGCAAAGTCATTTGTTTCATATTCTTTCTAACTCCTTCCAACCAAGCCATTTTCGGTCTCCTTCTACTTCGTCTAAGCTCAGAATGATCCCACTCTTCCACTCTTTGTAATAGTGCACTTTGAGGTCTCCGTCTTACATGTCCGAACCGACACAATCATAAGATGTCTATCAAACATGAAAACTAAAAGCAACTGATATGTATTGACTGAACGCTTCAATTACCTACAACTAGTAGGAACACATGCTAAAAACTAACAAGTACTAGAACAGCTTTTCTTTCTAATCTTCTTCATATGAAAAAAAAACCCTCTTAAGTTCCATCACTAATCCTCTCCATCCAGCCCATTTCCTCCCTAAAACTTGAACTCCTCATTTGTGAAATCTAGGGTGGCTCTAATGGCAACCGAGAAGAGGCCAATTAGAAAACAAGGAAACTCCTCTATTCCAGTCCCTATGTTTCTAATTTGTATTAGGCCAACCTGCAACAACAATCCTTGCTAAGTGAAACGATTCCAGCCCGCCCTCAGGTTCTCTCCAACTGTAGCCGCTACAATGGGATTTTTGACGGTGTAATGACAATAATGACAAGACAACACTTGCGAAAGCTGACAGCAGCAGGATCATGAACAGCAAATAAATATATAACTCCTAGGTCTATTCTCACACACGCTAGATCAGCATGGTCAGGCTTTGATTCATACTTAGAATCATAAGAGAAGAGGAAATGGATTAGCCAGGGGAGTGTCTTCCACTGACTGTAATGAAATCAGATTAAATTTATGCCCACACTACGGTTTATTGAAGAACATGTTACTGATTCTCAATGATCGTAGTTGTTATATTTAGATTTCTTATGTAGATTTCACATGTTTTTTTTAATTAATAAACTGATTTTACTATGTATAAAAGAAAGAGCATATTGTTAATCACTAAGTTCCTCAACCATTGGGAATCTGAAAAGAAACTGCTTATTGCCCAGAAAAAAAGTATAGAACACTTAACGGGATAAGTTAGAAACAAAATGTCTCATACAAGAGAATGCCATGGTACAATCAATCACTAAAATAAAAAAAATCTAATCAGTCACCAATGCTTTGTGCAATGAATGAACTCTCTTTCCTGACAGCAATAAAGCTACAATGCCAGGAAGATAAGAACCCCAAATCCCCGATCAATAAGTGCCAAAAAAGTCCAATAAATTCCAAAGCCTTTAGTTCCCTTAACTCTATTTATTAAGAACGATGATAAACTCAAGATAGCAGGCTATACAAAAAATTCTGAAAAGCATCTAATTTTAACTTATAAAATGATAGAGATTAATGCAGGAGAAATGCTTAGAAGGAAGACAAGAAATGACCAAAAACATACCTCCCAATTCTGGCTTGCTTTAGCTATCATAGATGAAGATAAATCATCATCACATGTAGCACTTGTTTGATCTTCATCAGACCAACCATCATGATCAATTGAAGGACCGACAGCATCTTGTGACAAAATTGACTCAGACAAGCAAGATATACTGTTTGTATCAGAGCATTCCATCATAAGATCAGATTTGGTTGACCCAATTTTATCAGTTAATTCCCTGAGCTTTTGCTCCAAAAGAAGGCTTAAAGAACCACTATCAATTAATTTTAGCCCTTGTTGTGGTGATAATGAATGTGTATCAGATTGGGCATTATCATAAGAATCAGCACAAAGATGATGATGATTGCTTCTAATGGCTTCAGTTGTAGATGGAGAGGACTGAGATACAGCTTTTTTTATGGGAGAGGTGAAAGTGAAGGAAATTACATCCATGTCCTTCCTTGAACTGCTTTGAAGTGCTAGATCACGTTGTGCAGCTTTCTCATCACAGTTTTCTAGCACTTTCTCACTTGAATTGTTATCTTTGGCAGAAAGCTGCTTGCTTCTTGATATTTTTTTCATTCTATTCAGTGAGGGCCTCTTTTCACTAACACCATTCACTGGAGGTCTCCGGTCCATTAAACGAGTTGTTGCAACCTTCTTTGATCCATTTTCAGCATTCACAAAAATTTTACTTACAATTTTACTTGGACCTGCAGAGCTATCTCCTGGAGGTAACTTTCTAGGTTGCTGATCAGAGTGTGAAGTTTTGGCAGTTGATTGGTCTTTGTGAGAGACACTATTCTGCTTCTCGTTGTTCTGTCTAAGCACACTAGAACTCTTCTTCCTTGGCGTCCTAGTTGAATTGACCTTTTGGGTATATGGCTCTTTCTGTTTCAGCTTCTTACGCTCCTGCTGCTGACTCCTGCTGTCACTATATGCTGAACCAATTTTTTTCTGCACATTGGCTTTATCTTGGACAGGCAAAGGAACAGACTTAGCTTTATTTTTTGCTTTTTCTGAACCACTTGCTTGTGAACTCATAATATTTTTAAACAAAGACTTTCGAGTAGACCTTTCAGAAGTAGTTCCTCTCACTTGATGTACAGGAGCAGCCAGCTTAGGTGTCTTGGGGGATTCAGGTAGTCTAGAAGACCTCTGTGCAGCTTCAATTTTTTCTTTTAGATCTTGATACCTAAAGGATGATGAAGGAGACCCCAGAGATGAGACTTTGGTCCTCCCAGTAGGCTGAGGAGAAGAATCAATAATTCTTGCAGCTGTCTCCATAATATAAGCTGCATCCTTTGTAGGTACAAAGCCTGGACTCTTGATTGGTGACAAGAGCTTGTGATGAGTGATTGAAATTGGTTTGGCCGACTTTGGAGGCAATACCTCAGTTTGAAATCTCTCAATTGGCCGGCCATGAACCTTCCTCATTCTTGAATCCGCTGATTTCCAAGGGTTACCCTCTACTTTGTTAGGCACGTAGCTATAGCCCATAATGTGTTGCTCAAATTCATATGGAGTATCACCTCCATGATAATAAGAGCTCCCAATAGCACGAGGTTCATAAGATGCAAAAGAACTTGCCTCGCATGACGCTGTGGTAGGCATAGAGTCCAATCCCATAAGTCGGGCAACCACCCCAGGGGCTTTTGTTCCATATCCATCATCCCCATTTACAGATGATGTGGAACTATAATTACCACTTCCTCTGAAAGAAGAATGATCGCAATTCTCTGATAGCTCCCTCTATAAGAAATTTTATCAGATTTAATATCATTCTTAAGTGACAAATACAATAAAAATAGGAAATGTTGGTCTAGGTGCAAACACAGGCATGTCTCTATGACGTATGTGCACGTGAGCTAATAAGGATGCTTTTTTTTTTTGAAAACAATATGGATGCTCTCATTCTGACTGTGTTGCGAATTTGTGATTCCTAGCAAATTATTTACATGCAATTGAACGAAAGAGAAGGAGAGAGAAACATGACTCACCAATAAATACTGAGAAATGGCCAAATTGTCAACACTATCCTTCCCTTGGATAGATCCTTCTACATCTAAAAAGGCAGCAAATTGTAAGTAATAGAATAGCCCCAAAGGAACATAAAATGACTAGGCAATCAGAACAAGGATGATCTAATTACCAGATGAATCAGACTTGTTAGAGAATAACTTTTTCCGGGATTTAGTATTCCAATCGAACAAATAGAGGAAGCGTCCCTTCGAACGTTTTCCCTCAGCTGCCATCTCCCAACCACAGCCCCCTTTACATTAACTTATGGTCCCAACTGACCAATCTCTCTGCAATAAAACCACAACTTCATGATGCTTGTATAACATTAATTCAAAGGTTATAAAAATATAATCTTGAATCTCATTCATAATATAACAAAGGTTCACATTCTGCACCTGAAAAAATTCACTCCAAATACTCGATATTTTCCATAAAATTAACATAGTAAACCAATAACTTGCATAGCAATATATACATTGAATATTTTCTAAGATATCACATATCCAGCCCACCTCTAAAACTAATTAAATTGAAACCCTAAATATAGCAGCTCATATGAATACTATAGCAGAATAAATCCTCATTAGCAGCAACATTGCTTTAATTTTTCAAGTTATAAGCTACTAAAAAAACACAAGTATAAATTCAAACAAACCCAAATCAACAGCTACATTGCACTAAGATTTCAGTCTATAAGCTCCTGAAACCTTCAACTTATATTCAAACGTACCCAAATCAACAGCTACATTGCATTAATTTTTCAATTATAAGCTCATTAGAAGGAAAAAAAAAAAACCCAACTTTAAATTCAAAAACAACAAAATCAAGCACCCTGAAAATTAATTACAAAAATCAAACCCAGAAACTTTCCTGATTTATAAACAAAACCCATGACTCGAAAAGATCCAAAAAGAGTTACCCAGAAAACTTACACAAATTGCTGAAGCAAAAACCCCTCATTGGACCCAGATCAAGAATGCCCTGAAGATGCAAAATTAGGGTTTTGGAAAAGGGGAAAAAAGGAGAGAGAAATAGGAATTTCCGTTTATGGAAAACGATGACAGAGGTTTGAATGAGCAATAAGTTGAGGGAATTAGTAAAGAACAGTCAAAAGTAGCAAAAATGGCAGGTGGGTTTTTCGATTGAAGGAGATTAATGTTTGATTTTTTAGAGCAAAGTTTTAATTTTTATATTTTCCCTAGTAAACAAGAATGCTAATAAAGTATTTTAGAGAAAATTTAAATTTGAATACATAATTTTATAATTTGAATAATTTCTTCCTATTTTAGTTGTTTGGATATTTGATTGGCTGGCTAATAGTCTTGGAGGACATCAAAGGATTAAGACCTTTGAGTCCCACCATCAATGTGTTATTGTTAGGTGGCAATAATCAAAATGAAATGGAAAATAATAATTCTTGGTCAATTAATAATAAAAATAAAACAAACAAAGTATGAACCACATTTTTTGTTGGTTTCTTGACAATTTATTGTATAAGTATTGAACCAAAAGATAAGCTTAGCTAGATACCAATGAGAAAAGAACAATCCTTTCAATTTTTGGGAGAGAATATTTGGAAGAAATGAGACATGTTGGGCTTAATTTTGTTTCACTATTTAAAGTAGACATAAATGTGTAAATGCTTTTGATTGTACAATACAAAGTATGTTTTGTTTAAGGTCACAAAGAAAATTGATGGAAATGATTTTACTTTATATCTTGGTGTCAACCTATAAGATTTTACATCAAACTAGTTACTTATTGAAAAAGTGAGATTTATAAAATTAATTTATGGATATTATTGGCAAAGTATTAAGGTTGGTATAAGCTTAATTCATTTTCACTTATCTAAACTAATTTTAAGGGTAATATAATCATTTAATATACTTCTTTTTTTTGGTATTAAGTTGGGAATTTATCAACAATTCACGAGTAAAATCGGAGTACATAGTACGGAGTAATGAATAGCTAAAACTCCGGACAAAAGATAATTGTCTTACAAAAAATGAAAAACTCATATTTAATGAATGAAAATAAATGATGGATAAAATCATAAAATGAATGACAAATTTCTATTCAAAAAAAAAAAAAAAAAGAATAGTGACAAATTCAGAATATTATTGGTAAATAATACTATAATTTATCGGTCAATCCGTCATTAATACCACCCAACCCAATGAAACGTCACCAATTCATTGACTCATTGTAGTATGAAAATTACATAGATTCTCATCATATTATTCATACAAAATATACGTAGTACGTAGTAGAAGTCTATTTGAGTATTAATCCTTATTCAACTCATTAATTTTTTTTTTTATCTTTATCACTTACTCCATGTATCATTCATACGGAGTACTACGGAATAGTTGCTCTATTAAGGATATTCTCCATTCAAAGTTCCATTCAATCAATGATATGAATATACGACTAAGATGACCAAAAATAAATTTGAGAAGCAATTAATTTATACACATCCTACTAATCCGTCCCTAAAACATTGTCCCATAATTAAAAAAGATGCCCCTAAAAGAAATTTATATCTTTTTAAAGTTTTTATGTTAACACTTGTATACACAAATTTGCACTTGCTTCTTAAACAATCTCTTAGAGACGGAAAGAGAGTATTTTGTAATTACAACACAACTCCATAATGCAGTTCAATGGTACAAAGACATGTGATGACAAGGTGTTATGTCAGAAACACATTATTTACTATGGCTGTTGTAGTAAATCTGCCCCTCTTAAATTCTGGATTCAACGATTAATCATTGTCATCATTGAACATACCACAACTACATAGGTCCCTCATTTTCATTGTCAAGCGACTGATGAATGAGAGATACAACATACACCATTACAAGAAATTTCGCGGTGATATGATTAGCAAAACTTCAGGTACAACATCACCTAATTCAAGATTCCAAGGTTAAGGTATACAGTACAGCATTCGTATTCATTTTACATTCTACCAGTATACCAACAATCCAACACTTGGACAATTCGAAAATCAAGGGCTATACGGTTGGTACTTCTATCTCCTATCCTCGTGGCAGCGGTTCAATCATCTGAAAGGGGGTTGGAATTATAAATGTGATTTACATCAGCAAAAGTTTAATAGAACACTTGGAGACAATTTGATCATGAGCAAATCGTATAACAAAAGAAACTGTCTATTGCAAAGTCTTAACACATACATACATATATGTACATCCATCTCAAAGACAAATACTTGTAGCCAAGCCCGGGTGAGGTGGTGACATTGTGGGTTCTTGACTTCTTGGGCTGTAAGCATCTCTAACAGCTTCGGCATGAGTTACAAAATGCTACACATGGCTACAGCACACATTTTGTGGAATAGGTAATCTCTAAATCAAATTTCATCTTGGTCAATTATGGTAGGCTTGTCATTACTCTCATACAGGTCTATTCACACAATTATCGCAAGGATTAGGACCGTATTTGCATGTATTTGGGTCAAATGATTCTCCAAAATGTTCAAGCAATGTTTTTCTCCTGCATTCGTCCTGAAAAAGTTTCACAGGCATAAAGGCATTACCTACCAATAGTTTTTCCAACTAATGTGATGAGTGTTTTCAGTTTGGCAAAGGGAGCATGAAAACAAGATGATTCACTAACCTTCAGTTCACAATACTCCCGCATTTTCTGAGCTTGAGCCATTGCCTTCTTGAAGCTGTCTTTGTTATAACTTTGTCCATTTCGCAACATACAAACAATTCGACTGAAATCCTTTTTCTGATACAAGGCAATACATTCTGCAGGAAGATTGTCTCTACCTGCCCTTCCAGACTCCTGGTAATAGCTTTCAATCGATTTGGACATTGTATTATGGACAACAAAACGCTGAACATTAGCAGAAAGAACCATAAGAGTGAGGTTTCCGAAGAAGATGAATGCAATGAATTAACTTGAGTATGCACTAAGACTGAAAAAACCATGAGGAAGACCAAGAATCCCCCCACCCCCCTATAAAAAATGCATTATGCAATATAATTAAAGGTTTTAACAGAAACAAGTCACTTGAAAAAAATAACTCATCTCAAGCTTACCACATCAGGTTTATCTATTCCCATTCCAAAGGCAATAGTAGCACATACAACTTGTACTTCTCCAGTATGCCATCTCTTTTGGACAGAAACTCTTTGACGAGCAGCTAAACCAGCATGGTAATGCACTGATTTGATTTTACATTTCTCATTTAAATACTTTGCCACTTCCACACTTTCATTCTTTGAAAGGCAGTAAACTATTCCACAAGAATTTTCAAATTCATCTTTCAGTAGTTTCCCAAGCTGCTTGAGAGGTTCCTTAGTCTTAGTAATTACTTTATACTTCAAATTTGGTCTATCAAAGCTCGTCTCCAACACCAAAGCACGAGGTATTCTTAATGCATTTAATATGTCCTGTAAAATCTCTCTTAAATTATGGACTATATGGCCATTCATACAATTTTTTTTTAAGTTGACAGAATCACTCGTACCTTGCGTACACAATGAGTTGCTGTAGCTGTTAAAGCCATCACAGGGACAGTTGAAAAATTCTGCTTAAGACATCCTAATCTCCGATAATCTGGACGGAAATCATGGCCCCATTGGCTAAGAACAAGTAAGCACTAATTTAGCAAGAGAATAACGATTGCAGTAATAGTATGACAAACAGCAAAATTCTTCCCTGTAAACTAGTTCCAAAATTGGAATAAAAACAAAATGGAAAACAAAAATCACCTTTTTCTCCAGGAAATTAGTCCATTGATTCACCCTAAGCTAGCTATCTTAACTGATGACTAGTTTGACTATCTAGTAAAATTTCATCAATTCCTGTGGTTTTTTTTTTTTTTTTTTCACTGTTCTTCCATAAAATACATAAATAAGTAAAATAAAAATTAATGTTCATACTTGATTCAGGAAAAATGAGTTGAGCACTTGAACTCGAAAGACAGTAAGGAGGAGTGAGGTTTCTTTCCAAAATCTTCGTTAGTTGGCAGAATATTAATGTATCATCTGCCTTAGTAAGGTGAATCAGGTTATGTCATTCATCAGTCATAACTCTAAAAATCTGAACTGTCACCAACAAGTTATACAGTAAAATTTATAAGGGTATTGTCATGGGAAAAAAAACCTATTATGTAGATCATCATGTTGAAAAATCTCAAATACTGAATCCAAGTTTCCTAGATTGAGCAAGAACTAAAGCTTAGAAAACCTATTCTTTAAAAAATGCATTCTTCAGGTAAAAGGCATACCTTACACAATGGGCTTCATCAACAATAAACCCTGCCAGAAGCCCCTACAATTGGAAATAAAATCTCATCTTATCCAGGAATTCATGTTACAAGTACATATATCTATTTGGACAGAAAATCAAGTTGTTGTTTTTTGTTTTTTTTTTTTTTTTTGAGGGAAACAGAAAATCAAGTTTTTATTGCAGAAGCAGCACAAACTCACCTTTTGATGCATACTTTTTAATGCATCAAAAAATGACGCATTTGCAGAGATTCTTTCCGGGGTTACATACAAGAGCTTACATGAGGGTTTGTCACTCCTATCAAGGATAAAGGAAAAACATTAGCAGCCATGACAAAATCAGTTAAATTTATTCCAACAACACTGTAGTATACACAGGCTTAAAGCTTAAGCAGAAATATATCAGGCTTCATAATACTCATATCTTACACAGCAAAGGACACATATTGAGCAAGCAAACTATATAAGTAAATTACCTAAGCTCTTGAATGACAGCTGCAGCTTGTGCTGGGCTTTGCTGGGAGTTTAGAAAAGTTGCAGGAACCCCATACTTGAGATTCAGTGTGACGATTTGATCTTGAATAAGAGAAAGCAGTGGGGATATAACAATGGTCACGCCTGGTTGTAGAGTTGCAGGAAGCTGTAAGAGCAAGCAATCTGTTAAATACTTAGTATTGGTGATGATACGTCATGCATTAATTAATCGTAGGACATGTTCATGAGTCATGACTCTTCAGTTGCAGAAGAGATACTACAACAACAATAAAAAAACATAGAAAGTTTTGTGCCAGACACTATTTAGTATTCACAATTCCAGCTTTGTACAGAACAGCCTAAGTGAGGTGACAATACTTTTTATTCAGTATATCGACCACAATATTCAAGGCACAGATACGATGGTAGTCATTTATAGCAATACTTAGAAAATCACCTGGTAGCACAGACTTTTTCCACCTCCTGTTGGCATGAGAATAAAGCAGTCTTGCTTTTGGACAAATGCTTTACATGCCTGATGTTGCAAAGGGCGAAACAACTTATTGCCAAATATGACGACATTAGCTAATTCAAAATCATCCAAAACCTGCAATTCTTCGTAACTAAGGGTTTCTTCATTTGTATCCAATACTTGACATCTTTCGCTTGTAGAAATGCCAGATGAACTTCTAGCCCTTTTTTGAGATAGAGATGAGCCTTTACTATGAGTGACACTGCTGCGACACTCCTTCAAAGAATCAGAATTCATTAGAGAAAGGTACAACTTCAAAAGTATATTAAGAAGCTTTGAGAAAGTGAAACTTCACATCATAAGTGCATAGAAAGCAAAAAGAAACTAGCTTTTAGCTTCATTGGCAAGGAAAACTTGTTGAAGAAATGGCTGTGAAACCAGCTATATGAGATTATGAGCTACAAATCATACTCCCAAACAAGTGAACAACAGAAAGCTCTCATGTAAAATTTGGCAGCTTTCCAACTAGCATTTATCATTTCACAGAAGAAATATTTATAATAAAAAAAAAAGTGCATGCTTTACATAGCCCTATTAAAAGGGATGTTGTACACTGCATGAGAGAATGCCCAAATGATAATAATGATTCCAAATCATAGAAAAGATCTTACCCCAGATCTTGGAGAGGTCCAATCGCTGCTGTTATGATGAGGATTAGGATGTGCTGAGGACTTAGAACTTCTATTTGCAGAAGTTTCAAACATCAAATCCTCATTTTCACTGGAAGAATCCACCACCAGGATATCCTGAGGTGTCTGAGTTTGTTCTCTCACACGAATACTACTTCCGGGATCCTCATCATCTTCACAATCAACTTCAAGAATAGGAGTTGCTTTTCCCAACATGCTGCTTAGAGCACCACATGTTTCAGTTTCCATAGCTTGTACATCATCCCATTCTTCACTGTCTTGCATAGACTCGGCCAGCATTGCAAGAAAATCATCACCACAATGTTCCACAGTAATAAAATCTTGTCCATCTTCACCTTCAATGATTCATGAGAATGTCTATCAGATAGGCAATACTCGTTACTCCCAAAGGCTATGATCCTCTTCTCAAAGAGACTCGTTATAAGAGACAATTTCCTTCTATTCGGACTGGGGTGGACTGGGGTGGGGGGCAGCTAACTCGACTCCAATCCAATTTGTTTAGCACAGGAATACATGATATCACCATAACTAGAATCATATAACTAAATCATTAAAATACCGAAATTCCCACACAACCATATTACAAATCGAGCCATTGCCAATTGATTTTAGGATGTAACCTCCCTCGGGTTCATAAACAGTTCAAACTCGCACAAATTAGAATTAAATTGACATTTTAGGCGTGGAAAGAGGATAAAATTCACGAGAAAACAGTCTCAATTCTCCAATTACACAGACAATTTATTCAGCAGAAATCTCAATCAACGAATAAAATCAAAGTAAGAAAATGAACATAATTAGTGTTTCAAAAAGAAGAGAGAATACCATAAAGTTGAATGAGACGGTCCAAGCATTGGTGAGCAGACTGGTCGTCGAAGCCGAAATCCATGGCTAAACTCACCAATCGAACTTTCTCGGTCTCTGGATCGGTGCCCTCCATTTTTATGCAACCTTCAAACTTTGCTGCTCTCTCTCACTCTCTCACTCTATATAATCTCACTTACTCCCAATTGCGTACATCTTAAATTTCTCCCGCCAAATTCAGTTTTTTTTTTTTCATTATTTAGCAATTTCACTTGGAATATTAATTTTTTTTTATTATTAATATTCCGTATTATTATTATTATTATTATTATTAGCAAAAAAACAAAACCTACAGAGTCAATCAATTTATAAGAAATTGGTAGGGAGCCGAGATACAATCTGGGCCCCCACCCCTCTAGCTATAGCGAACCCGATCCTACTGAAGATGTGAGCAGCTGCACGAGTACCAATATCCTGAGTCTTAGCGAACGCCTGAACCCGCTTCAGCAATGCAATAGCATCCTTCTCTAATTACCCCAACGAAGAAAAGGAGAAAGGAAGAAAACCATAGCCAATAGCCCTGCAACGCGCCCCATACTTGTCCCGCTTCCGCTGCCCCGATTGTGTCAAAGGTGAAGACCCCGTCAAATCAACACATACATCAAGGCCTCTATCCCAAGAATAAAGCAGCACATCTGCAGGTCGTAGAGCCCCGTCGTTTCCTCCAATCAACCCAATGTTAACCTCCTTTCGAGCAGAGATTCCAGACCGAAAACAAATATCAACAAGGGTGTCACGAACAACATTGTGCCGATGTTTAATACCCACCATCCCAGCACAAGACACTGCATGATCCCCATAAATATCCCCGTCAAAAACCCTAGAGCAAGCAGAACACGGTGTTGAAACGGAGAACAAAGGAACACCTAACCGGTAGCAAAGAACACTACGGTAAGTCTTACCATTATTATTATTATTATTATTATTATTATTATTATTATTATTATTATTATTATTATTATTATTATTTTTATTATTATTATTATTATTATTTGTCAATATTTAGCAATTTCACTTCAAATAATTTTTTTTTTTTGATTAGTCAAATAATTATTAGATACAGTAGTTTGAAAGTTTTGCATTGGAATATGCAATTGTTTGTTTTGTTAAAGAGTCGAAAGTTTATGTTTAGACAAAATTTCCTTTTGTAACGAAAGTATGCTACATTTTCTATCTAGTACTCCGTATTAGTCTTTCCCATATCTTCCCCTTCGTCCCTTCCTGTAGTCTTTTTCCCCATTATTTTTTCTATGATAAAAAAAAAAAAAAAAAAAAAAAAAGGAAAACATTTTCACACAATCACATTTTTCATTGAAAATTGCTTTTGAAAATGATTTTCCATATAGTATGTTTCTTTCAAAATAAATGGAGCTTAAGATCATTCTTTGTCCGATGTTCCAATCCCAGCAATAACAATCTTACAACTTTTGTTCCTTGGATTCGCTATCATACCAAAAACCAATGTTTCTTATGCTTAGAATACAAATGTTTTAAATTGGACTTATTATACAAAAAAACAAGTATGTTAATTATGTTTATTCATACCTACAAGTTCAAATTATGAGTTTAATTTTTACTCTATTTGTTTTTGAAAAGAATCACACTCCTTCGTAATGTTTAATAGCTGTGGTATGGAATTCGCAATATCACAAGGGTTTTGAGTCTTATGACCTTAACTACACAACAGAGTAAATCTTTCTCTTGTGTTAAGCATCTACGAAGAACAATTACTTATACTCCTTCCATTAGTAGTTAGTTAAATGTTGTGTTGTTGATTAAAAATAAACTAGTACAACGAATGAAGGCAGCAGTGATTCTGAATTTCTAATAAGCATTATTTACAAGTTTAGATGAGTAGTCGGATTATGGATCATTTGGCAATCAAGCCTCTCTTTGACAAACAATTGCAAGTCATTGAACAGAGGAATGTAGTACTTCGTACTTAGTAATCTTGGTACAGAATATTTATAAATATAAATATGCAAATGCCTCTTTCATAAATACATAAGAAAAACATAATAAACGGTCTAAAAGGAGAGGGCATAATAATAAACAGTTGCCAATAACTGCATGTCTGCATGTATATAATTCTCTATGAAGCAGCTGCAAATAACTTCAACCTTATACAGTTATACCTGAATAACACCTAGATTTAGACATGTAGCCAGTGCTATAAGATACTAATATTTCTATTAGAGCGACTTAGGCAACTCCGTAATATATAATGACTATAAACAGAGGCAAAAACACGTAGTTGTTCAGATCTTGAAATAGTTTTTAAGTAGAGCCCTGTCTGAATCACTTACAGTATGATCAGTGAGTAAGCTAATAAATATTGAAGCGATGTGAGCATCAGCTGCAAACCCTTTGCTTCTCATAGCGGTGACAAGTTCCAAAGCCTTGCTGATATCCTTGCCTTTCAAAAACCCCCTGATAATTAGATTGTATGTACATTCATCTGGAGGACATCCATACTCCTCCATTCTCCCTACCAATTCAATGGCGTCGTTCAGAAAACCTTTTGCACAAAGTCCTTTGACAACTATATTATAAGTATAGATAGTTGGCAGTAAGTGCTTCTCTGTGAGAGATGATAAAGTATCCAAAGCTTCTTGAAGTTTCCCTGCTTCACACAAGCCATTGATTAGGATATTGTAAGTGACAATATCGGGAACCACTCCCTTAGTCTTCATTTTTCTCAACAGTTCCATTGCTTTGTCAATATGTGTGTTTTTACACAGGCCATCAAGCAATGAATTCAAAGTCACTACAACAGGTTTTAGTATGTGAGTTTCCATTTCGGTAAAAAGCTTGTACGCAGTGGTTAGTCTATTGTTCTTGCAAAAGGCATCTATAAGAGTGTTGTATGTGTAAATATTTGGAGTTATCCCATTAAGATGTATCTCTTGGAAATGGCTAAGAGCTTTGTCAAGATTTTTACACTTGCAATATCCGTTGATCAAGGTGTTGAAAGTAATTATACTAGATTTGCAGCCATTTTTTGTCATCAACGCCACTAGATTTTCTGCCTCATCCATCTGCCCACGTAAACAATATCCGTCCAATAAAGCGTTGTAAGAAATAATATTGGGAACCAGACCTTGACTTATCATGGATTCGAATATGGCCCGTGCTTCATCAACCATTCCTCCTTTACTATAGCCATTAATTAAAATGTTGAAAGTAATAACATCAGGTTTGCAACCATCTTTTACCATCAAATCCATGAGCTTTTCTGCCTCATCCATCTCACCACGTAAACAATATCCGTCTAACAAAGTATTGTAAGTGATGATATTGGGAACCAAACCTCTCTTAGTCATGTATTCAAAATGTCCCGTGCTTCACCAACCTTGCCATCTTTACAATACATATCAATAAATATGTTGTAGGTCTGTAAGTCAGGAGTTATGTTATTCCTTAACATCTCAGTCATCATTTCTTGAGCCTCTTTCTGTTGTCCCAAAGTGCACATACCTTGAATTAAGGTATTAAAGGTGACAACATTAGGGGAAATTCCCTTGACTTTCATCTCCTTGAAAAGGCGGAGAGCCTGAGGTAATAACTGGTGTTTACAGAGACTATCAATGATGGTGTTGTATATGACAACACCAGGCATAAAATGGCCATAAGACTCCATATTTCTGAGGAGTTTGAGAGCACCGGCATTATCACCGGACCTACATAGACCTTTGAAGATAGAACCATAGGTGATCAATGTGGGTTGGTAGCCAAGCTTGAGAATTTTATCCAATAAAGGAACAGCTTTGTCCAACTGATGAGTATGAATAAAGCCGTTGATGAGAGTAGTAAAGGTGACAATATCAGGTTGATAACCAAGTTTGATAAAATTGGCAAGAATAGAAAACCCAAAATTAACAAATTCCAAACGACAGTAGCAATTAGCGAGGATGTTAAGGGAATAATCATCTGGACGAACACCTAACAAATGGAGGTGCCTGTAAAGAGAAATGACAGTGGAGAAAGGGGGGTGGGGTTTAATCTTACAAATGGATGATAACAGTTGATTGAAATCAATAATAGCAGGAAGTGGGCGAATCAATTTCATATGATGAAAGAGAGAAAGGGGAAATTCGACATCAGTAAACCCTAATTTAGATTGTTGTCTAACAAATTTGAGAAACAATTTGGGGTCATCATAATCATAATCATAATCAAAATCAAAATAATGAGTAGCGTAATTCTTGTAATTTCGGCAAGGAAATAAAAATGGAAGCTGAAAAGAGGGCGAATTGAATAGGGAAGAAGTAAAATTGAAACAGCAAAAAGGATTAGAAAAATGGGGAAGCTTACTTGTAGAAACGCCATGAAAAGGAAGAAGCTTAAGTGTAGAGCCGCCATTAAAATGAAGATGAAGAAAAGGTCTTCCAAAAACACCAGGTGTTCTCCTCATGTTGAAGAAAAGGTCTTGAAATAGTAATGGAATTTGCTAATTATCCTTTCCTTTTCTTGTTAGTATTTTCTCATTTCCTCTGGTTTTATGTTAGTTTTCATTTTTCCAAGATTTTCAATGAAGTAAAAAAAAACATTAAATTGTCATTCTCATGAGGGGTAGGTAGTAGGTACACTATTGGTTTGACTGATACCCCTCATGCTTGACATTAAATTACTACTCCGTAAATTAGGAAAATTTTCTTATATAAGTTTTATATGCGGCTGGTCGTATCATACGGCCATCCACTTTTTTTAAAAAATATTTTCTCTCTCCTCTGCCTTCCTCCATTTTCTCTTCCTAACTTTCTCTCTCTAACCTTCAATGGTGGAGCTAGGTCTTCCGCCGCCGTCAGGTTCGTCGTCTCCGTCCAGGTCTCCTCGAAGCTCCAAGCCAGATCGTCGTCACCGTCTTCGTTTCGTCATCGTCGAAGTTCCTCGAACTCCAAACCAACCCAAACAGTCTTCATATTTGCCGGCGAAATCAGCCAAAGACCTCCACCTCCGTCGTAGTCCTATTAATTGATTGCTGGTGGAGTCGAGCAATTGCAAAATCTCAGTTAATTGCTCTTATCTACTTGAAATTGATTCATTCTACTATATTTGTTAATTGATTCATTCTAATGTATGTTGTTAATTGATTTTCATTCAAACCAACGATTGCTTCCTTTATCATCTGCAACATTTCTTATATAAATTTGTTTTATGCAAAATTGATTTAAATTGATACTTGAAAGTTTCGTTATTTTGGTTTGATTTGGATGAATTTGTGGCCCCTGTTTTGTTGTTGTGAATGTTTATTTCAGGGGTTACTAGGTCGGGGGTTACTTAAGCAGTTTCTAAGGGTTACTAGGTCGGCTAGGGGTTACTAGGTTAGGGGTTATTAAGTCGGTTAGGGGTTACTTGGGGTTACTTGGGATTACTAGGTTAGGGGTT